AGGAGAGTATATATTGTATGTAGAAATATACAATATAATATCACACATGAAGTAGAATTTGGGAGTTTGCAAACAGATTATTAATGAACTTATTTCAAGGTGTATACATAACAGTAGCAAAACAAAAAATAGAATAAATTTATGATCAAGATAATATGAAAGGTTCAAATAGGTAGAAACCTTATTACATTCTTTCAAAAAATGAGGATTCAGTCTTTGGAATTGGAAGTGAAGTCATAGAGTTGGTATAGGTTTAACTTTTAGTTTCTTTTAACTTTTCCTCTAGGCGCAGTACGTGTTTGTGATGATATTTCAAACGGGGGAACTGTAGAACATGCTTATAAAAGGAATATTCAACTTATAGAAGCCTAATCTTCTGCTCCAATCCCAAGATGAAAGAAACCATGAGTTAGTAGATCACTTAACCATGGTTATTACAGTGGAACTAAACTAGCTATGACTCTGGATAAACTTTAATTATATTGTTAAGGGTTTTTTTTCATGAAAAAAAAGTTTAATTCATGAAAAGGCTGTGTTGTCTTAATTGATTTTCACGCTACAAATTTGAGTTTTCCATACAACTACCATTGTTCATCTTTATTTTTAGAATTATTATTAGAGTATTTTTTTCTGCATTTTTGTGACCACCACTAATCTGGGGATCTTAATCCTTAACTTCAAATGACTCTGCATGGTCTTCATGCTTATGAAGTATGACATAAAAAAACTTTGATTTTATTACTCCTCGTAGGTTGGGAATTGATGAAGAGCTTGTGGCTTTGCTTGGCAAATATTCACCGGTTGGTAACTGTATTCAGGTCTTAACTTTTATGTTGCAACAAAGTTTTCAAGTTGCTTGAACATCATAATAAGTGAAGGATTGGGAAAAGAAAAGTGTTTGAGATATGTCATGTGATACATTACAACCATTGGAGGTATAGACTTAGAAAATTATTATATAGTCTCTGCCTATATGATGTGCTGAAGGAGCATCATTAATTAAGGCTTATGTTCATTTCTGTTGAGGAGTGGTAAATGTAAGAAAATAACGTTTCACTGTTTGAAATTTTATGGCTCTGGAATACTGACCGACAGTTAAAAACTTATGTCTTACATCATATATCCATTGTGTTTCTATTTGGAAACCATATGAAGTGTGCATATTATTATTGATGCATTTTGATTTGTCAGATTCCTGTTACCTATGCTGGCGGTGTGACTGTAATGGCTGACTTAGAAAGGATAAAAACAGCTGGAATGGAGCGTGTGGATGTTACTGTGGGCAGTGCCTTGGATATTTTTGGGGGGAACTTGGCTTATAAAGAGGTTGTAGCTTGGCATACCCAGCAACAGGCCTCCATGGTTTAATTAGTATGATTGAGACTTGTTGGGGGTGGTGGCAAGGACTTGTTTAATTGTTTATCTAAATGTGTAACCATGTATCCAGTGATCTTTCTATCAATAAATACATCACAGATATTATTGTCTTTTCTAGAATTTTACTCTTAAAGTGTTGTTAAAATATAGTTAATTTTTGGCCTTAGCCCGCATGGGCTAGGGCCTAACGGGCCGGGCTGGCCCGTTTTGATGGCTCTATCCGTACGCAATTTTCAAAATGACGTAATATTTATGTTGGCAGTTTAAAATGCCATTAAATTTGTTGAATTAAAATCCATATGAATTTAATGTTTTTTAAAAAATTTAAAATATTATTTTCGACGGAATTCTATGTACATTCCGTTGTAAACGGTTAAGAATTTTCAACGGAATTTAATTCCGTTGAAATTTTCGACGGAGTTATAGATAAATTCCGTTGCAAACTGTTACAGAACTTTTGGGTGGAATTGTTTTCCGTTGAAATTTTCAACGGAATTATATATAAAAACCGTTGGAAACTGAAACAGAACTTTTTGACAGAATCATTTTCCGTTGAAAGTATAGACGGAATTGTAGATAAATTCCATTGAAAATTGTAACAGAATTTTTCAACGAAAATTAATTTCGTCAAAAATTTCAACGAAATTTTTGTTAATTTCTGTTGCAAATTTTCGTTGAAATTTTTGACGGATATATTTTCCGTTGAAATTTTTGACGGAATTTATTATTTTAATTTTATTTCATGACTTTATTTATTGAAGGAAAAGTAAGGCTTCCAACGGAATACATTCCGTTGAAGTTTTCAACGGAAAAAAATTCCGTTGTAAATTTCAACGGAAAAAAAAATTTCGTTGCCTTTCGACGAAGGATTATCCAACAGCAGAATTCTGTCGAAAAATGATTTTCCAACGGAATTTTCATAATTTCCAACGGAAAAGTTCCGTTAAAATTTTTGACGGAATTTATTATTTTAATTTTATTTCATGACTTTATTTATTGACGGAAAAGTAAGGCTTCCAACGGAAAAAAAAATTCCGCTGCCTTTCGACGAAGAATTATCCAACAGCAAAATTCTGTCGAAAATTCCGTCGAAAAATAATTTTCCAACGGAATTTTCATAATTTCCAACGGAAAAATTCCGTTGAAAATATTAATATTTCTAGTAGTGATACCCTCTTTAGATCTTGAGTCATCATCCCATCAATCTAAGAAATCAAATCTTGAGCGACCGTACACTTCTCCATTCTCTTGCTTAAAATAGTTTGGAGGATTTGTCCATTCTGTAACTGTTTTCTACGTGAAATTTCATCCATATATAATCATTTTCTACGAGGAGAAACAACAAATAACGTAAGAGGGCTTATGCGTTTACACACACAAAATCATATATAATTGCAAAACAATAATGATTTGCCAACATACAAACCCACTCGATTTTATACGCTTATTTATGACAATTCAATTTTTTCTTCACGCACATAAGTCATGTTCTGTGAAAAGTTCATGAGAGAATTATAAAAGAAAATAATTATTATTGTTTCCAAAAAAAAAAATAGTTATTATAAGATTTAAATTCATGCATTCTTATAATCTTATTGCATTTTTCCAACTCTACTAACAAATTTGTCTTACAATGATTTATTCAAATATTCTTTTCATTAGAATTTGTAAAATTAAGAATAAAAAAAAGTATAAACATGTCACAAAATAATATTTGTATGATATTGTAATAATATATATTTTTATAATGAAGTATGCTTTTTTATTTTTTTTTTAAAAACCATTCTATTGTTATTCAAAAAGAAATAAAAAATAAAAAAAGTATATACATGAAAGAAGTAAAAACAAAATAAGTATACAATAAAAAATATTAATTTAAAAAGGTAGCTTGTAACAATAGTAATAGAAAGAATTTTTTTATTTTTTATAAATCCAAAATCACGTAACCTGTAGAGTTCTTACTTTACGAACGTGAAGAAACCAAAGGAAAACTCTGTTTCACAATGACTCTTAACGTTACTCACGTACAAGGGAGGATAAATAAGAATATAAGAAGACCTTCAAAGAATCATAATCCTCCTAATCAAATGAGAAAATATAACAACCCACTCTAACCCCACACATTTTTATACAGGAGATAATTACATCACAAGAAACATTAAATTCTCTTGATATTGAATCTAATGTATTGCGCAACGAGGGAATGTTTGGTTTTGTTAAGTGGGTATTGTTACGCATTTGCTTAGAAATTTTAGAACCATACAGCGTAATACGTGAGGATTGACTAATGCTTGTGGAGGTGCCTATACCCCCTTCCCACATGACAGTGACTACCACACTCAATTCCACAGAAAGCGACTTGCATCTAATCAAATTGTGAAATCGCCATTGTGATTATCTGCATGATCGAAAAATAACGCAGATTTTCATAATATATCCCGCTAGTTTTCTTTGCTATACATGTACTTTGAGTCGGTTTCTCTGTTCTTGCTAAGAAAAGAAAAGGGTGAAAAAAATAAAATAAAAGAGGTTGGAGCCGAATGGATTTTTCTGTTAAAATTTATTTGTTGCCTGTCAAGTTTTTTATTTATTTATGATGTATATAAAATTATATTTTTGGTAAGATTTTATTTATTGAATGTCTATGATGAAAATGATAGAAACAAAATTATGATGAAATTTTAAAATCTATCCCCTAATGGCCAAAGCCACTTGTCCAGTTTAAATAGCACCGACATATGTTATCGGAAAACGTCGGTGCTCCACGTAAATTACTATCATAGCCTCACGCCGCCACTCTTCGTCCTGCTTAACGCGGTAAGAAACGTAGCAGTATAGATATATGGTTTAAATGAACAAATACTAAAAGCAGAAAAGCATATCTACCATGTGGAAATATTAAAATTGTTAAGGGATTTTATAATTTTAAAAATAAATGTTCGAGGTGCAATTATTTATTTGAGAATTTGTATATGTAACATTAATTGGATAAAATAAACCACAAAGATACTTACACACCACAAAGATGGACCGTGCAATTATTGCTCTTACTGATAAGGAACAAATTAGTGTCATTATTTGATGATAAAAATGCATTTATTTTTTAAAAGGAAACTCGTTAGAAAAGCAAACACACACGGTGTCAATTAATGTACAACGCGGCAACAAAGTGAAACAACACAGAAACACAAAAAAGATGGTATCCAAAACCATGTTGAAGAAAACATCAACAAGAGATTCTATACTTTGTATTAAAATAAACAAAGAAGAGACAGGTTCCATACAAAAACAATAATTTTTAAATTCAAATCCAGTTTTAGCAGGACAGGGTAATAGTTTCTTGGCAAGGTGATGCTTGAGAAATATATATGCCAAACAAAACACAAAAAGATATGGTGTTAATTAAAATGTGTCGGGGAACAGTGAAATATATAGGCCCTAGTCCTACACTTTACAATACAGAATAAAAATAAGTAAAGAGGATAAGAAAGAAACAATATGGGGCTTTTAAAATTATGCATTTTACTGTATTAAAAAAAAAAACAAAAAAAAATATGCATTTTACAATTATTATCATTAACTCAACTTATTTATGGAACGAATATGAATATGAATCTGAATGCTGACTGACTCAAAAGTGAAAGCCTTGCGGCATTACATTGCATGAACAAAGATTTGTATGTTGATTTGAACTTATAATTAAAATGATTAAAAAGAAAATAGAAAATAAAATTGTAGGTATAACTAATTCTTCTTGCCTTCTTCTCCACCTTCTTCCAAGTAAGTCTTCTTCCTTCTATCAGCCCCAGCGATGAGACAAATGAGGAAAAAACACGTGGCATAAATCCCGTGAATCTTCCAATTGGTCTTGGGCGGTTGCCGCAACACAACCCTGTGAAACACCGTCATATAATAATGTAATCCGACCGAAAAGCCCACGAAGGATTGGGCCAGGCCCAGAAACTTTGAGCCCAATCCACAATCAGTAGAAAACACCAAAAGGAGGTACATGAGAAGGAGGAGAAGGTAGAGAACATAAGCGAGAGTTTGAAGGACTTGCAGACATAGATATGTGGTCTGCGAAGTAGAGTAGAAAAACCTTAAGGGTTCAAGCCCAGTGATCAAAGAAGAGAGGCAGAGAATGAAGAAGTAGATTGAGAGATAGGCTTGGATGAAGATCAAGAGTTTTTGGAGTGAGAAGTAAGCTTTGATTCTATTGAAAAGGAGAGAGATAAAAACCAAAGGGATAAGCACGAAAGCAAAAGAAAGTGAGGTTGCAATGGTGGGTGCGTACTTGTTGCCAACATAAGGTTTGAACCCTTTTGTGATCTCTTTGTTGGCTTTGGTGATGTAAGCTTTTGAGGTTGTTGAGATTCGCTCAAGGTCTGGGATCAATGTTTGCTTGAACTTGATGGGTAGATCTTTGAAACCTGAAATCAAATCATCGTCCTCTTCTTCAAACAACCAACTAGGTGGTGCTTTTAATTTCTTGTTCTGTATGTTTGGCTTCTCAGGTTCAGTTTGATCTTCCTTGATGAACTTGTTATTGGTTTGCTTGTCCTTGTCCTTGTCCTTTGTGGCGGTGGCTTTTGTCGTTTTGTTCTTGGCTTTGGCTCCACCCCCACTTGCTTTCGCGAGATCCAATGATGTCTTGATGGAAGTGGAAACAGAGTTACTAGGTTTTGAGGAGTTGGTGGAATTGAGCTTCTTGGTCTTAAAGGTGGTGGAATTGAGCTTCTTGAGGCTGGTGTCGGTGAGTGTGGTTTTGGAGCTGAGTTTGGTTTGGTTTTTGGTGGAATTAAGGTTATTGGATTTGATGGTTTTGGTTTGGTTTTTCAAAGAAAGGTTACTTGGCGGCTTGATTAACTTGGTCTGGTTTTTGGTGGATTTCTTCTTCAAAGGTTGTTCATACTCTTCATTTTCTTCTGCCTTCAATTCCAACATTCTTCTTCTACCACCACTGATACTATTTAACTCTTTGCTCTTGAGTTGAGGTTCAGAGCAGACACTGAAGCAAAAAGAAACAAAAAAGAACAAAATAACAAATAGCAGGAGCACCTTTCTGCAACCAACGTACACGAGTGGAGCCATTATTTTGTGAAACCAAGGATTATACACACTACTAGCTTTCCTCCAAGATCTAAAGGGCCAAATGGTTTAAAAGATCTGAAGGTACACACACCAATAAGAGATTGACCCTGAGCCTAACCCGTGAATTTATATCAATTTGGGAAGAGAAAGAGAGAGAGAAAAGGGACAGCGTCGTGGAGTGTCATACACTAAAGGTAGTGAATGGCATAAGAGATAAGCAAAGCAAAATGAAGTAAGATCACAAGTATTTATTGCGATAGTGGGAGGGTGGAGAGTAGGAGACCCATCACATGGCGCATGGAAACAGTGTACACTTCCCTACCTACGCGGTTTTACACCTATTGCTTCCTTTGCTATAACTATTTTTTTTTTCTTTTCTATGAGCAACTTTATATATGCATCATGATGGGGAACTTTTCTCTCTGCACGGTGCTCAGTGGGCATCAATTTTATATTCCATTAAAACAACTCCTTGTTAGCATATTCATTGAGTTCAGAGAATGACTTAGGTAGGTCAATAAATTCAATGAGTTTGGTAACAAAGAGACAAAACAAAATGTTATGGGACCTGCCCGCCTAGCCTTGAAAGTAGAGAGTGTGTACTCCAATTCCTTAAATTCACAAAGTTCAGACACTGATTTTCATGAATTTTGACAAAATTGCTAAATTATGGTAGATTAATGCTAACTGAAAGTTGATCTTTTTCATGTGAAAAAATGGTCATGTGATCATATTATTTGATCACAATTACTCATTTAAAAATTATACATTTTTTTTTCTCTTATCTCATTATCAATGAGTGGTTGTGATCAAATAATATGACCATATGACCACTTTTCCACACGAGAGGATCCACTTCCATTCCATGCTAACTAGCACTTTTATTTTTATTGATGATCGAATTTGTGGTTAATTTTTTAATTTTGACTATAAATTATGGTTTATTATTTATTATTGCTATTATTTTCATTTTAAAATAGGATAAATCTTAAGGTAAGCTTTTATGATATTTGTTAAGATTTAAAAATAAAAAAATTAAACGAATTTTTTTTTATATATTTTTAGGAGTAAGATATACTTATCACTAAAAATATTTATCACCTTTATAACCAACTTAATTATCGTCAATTTCCGTCAATCTAACAGTTATAATTTATTGGATATATTGACAATTAATAATTAATTAATAAATGCGACCTAATAATTCTTAATAAATTATAACCGTTAGATTGACAGAAATCAATGATGATTAGGTTGGTTGTAAGAATGATAAACTTTTACGGTGGTAAGTAGGGGTGTTAACAGGCCGAGCCGAGCCGAGCTTTGGTCTTAAAAGACTAAGCCTGTGTTTAAATGTATTAGCCTGATCAAGCCTGTTACCTGTTATGAATATAATTTCAGCCTGTGGCCTATTTTATTTACAAAAAATAAAAACCTGATTTAGCCTGTTAGCCTGTTTAAAAAAAATATGACAACAAAAATTTATCCAAACAAAATATACAATCAACAGCACTAGTAATTCCATAAATATTCATACATTTAATGTATATCCAAACAGCATAATATAAAACAAAATCATTCAAAAAGTTTGTTTAATTAATAAAATGGGATAAAATGGATTAAGAAGAGAGAGAGGGCTATCATAAGTAGTATAAAAATATAAAATAAAATTTTTTAATATATTAGGCTAGCCTGAAAGGCTCTAACGCCGAGCTTTTGAACTGAGACCTTTTTATTAAACGAGCTTTTATACAAGTCCAAGTCTAGTTATAACAATCAATTTTAGATATATAAGCTAAGACCTTCACGAGCCGAGCCAAAGGCCCCTGTAAGGCCCCTGACTAGTTTAGCACCCCTAGTAGTAAATATATCCTTCCCCATATTTTTAATGTATTAAAAGTTATATTTCTTTTTAATCTTAGATCCTTAAATAGTGTCCTTAATTAGTCTTGAGCAGTGGCAGAGCCACATTGTAACCTGCAGTTGCCTTGGCACTGGCTTAATTAGCCACGTTCATTTAGCTACAGTTGAACGTGGCAAATTCTATTTCAATTTTTTTCGAAAATTAGCCACGTTTGGTCGTGGCCAAAGAACCGTAACTATTTGGGCACTAGCTGACTTGCCTTGCTGGCTCCGCCACTGGTCTTAAGGTACATATTAGCAGGATCTTCAAAATAATTGTCATTTAAGGCTTGGCTCATAAATTAAGAAAGTCATAAAATATATATAAATTTTGGAAAAACACAATTACATTTGACTAAATTATTTTTCATTCCATAAATAATCTCTCTTATTCCATTTAATGAATTTACTAAAGATATAATAAAATAATTATTTATCTTTCATTAATTTTCTAAAGTAATAAACAATTTGAAACAAATTATTTTTTCTAAAATATAAATTAATTCAAAGCGATAGAGTACGTATTTTTAATCTATGACTCACGGACACGGGACACGACACGACACGCCGACACGTTAATTCTAAAAAATGTCATATTTCGACACGTTGGGACACGTTTTGATATTAAATAAAAATTATAATATATATAATATAATTTATATTTAATACATATAAGAGTCCATAATAAGTCATACAAGTAATCAAATATTTAAATTTCATAACATAAATATAAATATAAATAATTTTTCGTACTTTGTTGATTTTTCATATCAAATTCCATAACAAAAAAAAATTAATTTATAAATTATTTCTTTTATATTTAGTTAACAAAATAAAATTAAGATTTAAAAATAAAATAAAAATTTAAAAAAAAACGTGTCCGAGCATGTCCGAACATTGACAGCGTATCAGAAAAAGTTGACTGCGTGTTAGAAAAACGTGTCAGAACATGTCTGAGAGTTGACCGCGTGTCCCCAAATATTGACCGCGTGTCCGAGCATGTCGGAGCGTGTCCGTGTCGGACACGTGTCCGACACACAAATTTTTAGAAAAGAACCATGTCCGTGCTATATAGTTTTTAATTACTTAAAGAAGAATATAATAAATTTTTTTTTAATTCCTTATACATTATAAATGCTTTACTTTTCTTTTCATATTTTTTATTCCTCTAGTCAGTATTATAAGAAAAATTATTGCATGCTCCAGTAAGATTTCCACCAATATTCATTTTAAGCACATTCACGTAATTGATTTGAGCATTACTCAATTTTATTATTTACTGTCACTTTTTTATTATAACTTTAAGCATTTATTATAAGGGAAAAATTATTCTTATGTCACATGACATAAATTTTTTCTCCTACATACCCTTCGATAACTGTGCCATCTTTTTCTTTTCTTTTCTTTTATTTTTTCAGGTGGTGAAGCCCGTTAGTTTGTTTCTATGACATGAGATAACTATCTCCTTTAACATGAGATTAATAAAACTCTTTTTATAAACAACTTGCGCTCTGAGTATTATATGTATAAGGGTATCATAGCAATTTCAATAAATTCAGGTAAATCAACTCAAAATTAATAATGAAAATATTCACGGAGCTTGTAATAAATATTCCTCATGCTCTTAGAGCATGTTAGAATTTGGTATTCATTAGCAATTTTTTATATAATAATTATAAATCCTTTAAGTTACTAAATGAAGAAATATTAAAATTCTTATATTCATAAATACTACATGCATATAATTTTGATTTAATATTCTTTTTATTAAGTATTAGAAGGATTATTATAAGCATGTTTTACAATGGCATAGTAAATCTCTTTTGTGGTAGGCCTTACTAGCAAGTACTTTGAGGGTACTTGTTAATAAGCATTTAATATCCTTTATTAAAAAAAATTAATACTAAAAAATAATAATAACTATTTATAATATGTTAAAAGGGAAGTTATAGTTGCTATCTCTTTTTCTTATTATCTCTTAATTACTACTAAATCTTAACCGTTGATTTTCATCAATTTAACGGTTGTAATTTATTGGGGCATACTTATTAATTAATTATTAATTTTCAATAAATTATAACCGATAGATTAGCGGAAATCAACGGTTAAGATTTGGTAGTAAGAAGTAGTAAGAAAAAGAGGTAGTAACTATAAACTCTTCCTATGTTAAATACTTTATTTTTTTATTTCTTAAAATCAATTATTTACGGATACGTAATTAGCATCCGTAATTTTAATAGAATTATTTAATTTTAATTTTAGAAAATGAGTTTGGTTCTCACTGTTTTATTTTATACGACAATCATACATAATTTTTGACAAATTCTGGCTATATTTTGTCCATTTTTTCAAATTATACAACATTACTCTTATTTTGAATAATGTGCGGTGGAAAATATAAATTTCAATATTGATGGCAGGGGAATTAATTAATAGACGGTTGACTCATGAAACATAATAATTGCTTCATTGATGCACAATAAAAAGCGGGTTGGGACGCATCTCAATAATAGTAATTGAGGAAATTAAGCACAAGAACCGCCTAACACTGACATTCAGATTGACATAAATAATTAGGCTTCGATCATATGGTGAATTAGGCAAGAAATCATGCATAGGATAGATTATTGGCTTAGTTTTCTTAAGTCATCGTGAACGGGTCTTTCAAAAGTAAAACTGTCACAATATTGATCTGCATTGCTCGATCTGTATAGCTAATTTATCAAAGTAGATTATGCAGGGAAATAAAAGTATGTCAAAGTAGATTGAAGTTTAAAAGAAAAAGTGCATTGATGGATTATAGACTAGCGTCCTTTAGTTCACGAACTTAGTTATTTTTTAATTTTTTATTGATATTTATAATATTATTGATTTTCCATTATATATCTATGAAATGTGTGTTGAAGAATTCAAGTGTGAATAATTGAATGAAAATGTCCCGCATTGATTAAGAATGGACTAAGTAAGCACCATATAAGTGGAAGAACCCATGCACCCAGGGGCGGACCAACATGGGGGCTAGAATGGGCTCCCGCTCTCCTCTTAAATATGAAAATATGTTCTACTATATGATATGCAATATGGTATGAAAAAGTAAAATTTTGAAAGTGCTTTTAAAAAGTGAAAGACAAGCGATGCTATTCATAAGAAAAGTGTTCCACCAGTTCATTACACCCAATTAGAGATAACTATTATTTATCAGATTCAACCTACCAACATATATAGCAGGTTTTGTTCTTGGACTGCTACCCTCCCCAGTCAATGTGAAAAGCTGGTTTTTCCATTTTATATAAAGAAGAGTTCAGTTAGTGATGCATATTCACTCTACTTGTCAAATTTGTCTATAATTTCATTTTTTATTGATTGATTATCTAATTTTCTTTTTATAATAATTAAAAGTTTGTATAGATTGTCATATCAGAACTCAAGAGAAGAGTATTTAAGTTTGACTTTGTTGGCAAAGAAAAAAGGTCAATAAATTAGTTATCAATTATTAGTTGGGACCAAATGCTAAAAATAAATAACACATTAATTAATTTAATGTTTCTGCTAAATAACAGCTAAGTGAGAAAATAAGATTATGAAAAATTCAAAGAAAATG